GAACTTCTCATGTAGGATGATGAGGATGGCTTTTACCATCTGTTCAATTCACCCACGCATCCTCTTCCTCCACCATTGTTTGCACAGCAGCAATGTCCGCTGTGGTAGTTTCCACAGGTCAACACACACACTGTCTCATCTGCATGGACCATATTGATATTGGCACGCCTCTCCCCAATAAAGGCTGCCGTGGAAAATAGTTGATAATTTCATTTAGAGAAGAAATGCATTCATACCGGATTGATTTTTCGGAAGTTTATAGGAAGTGAATCTTCGTTGATAGTCAGAATGTCCGAACATCAAAAAACGGCCAAACCGTCATTTTTGCTCCCACTGAAGTGATCTCACGGGAACCCGTTCATCCAATACGCTATCTGAAATTTCATTTTCACGCTGAGCCGCCAGACTCAATTCGGAACTCAGCTTTAATACAACTCTTGCATCCTTGACCGTCATTTCATCAACTTCATTTGGCCTGACGCATAAGCGCGTGAAAAATATTTCGACATTCAACATCGCTAGTAAATCTATCATACTCCACAAGTTTATGATACAAAATTGCTACCTTCATTCATTCATTCATTTGTAACTGGATCAATACTATTTGATTGAGAGAGCTGCAAAAGAAACGCATATATTCACCTCTGTTTCCGTTATTCAGATGGAATCTTTGAAGACAAACAAAACAAGTATTTCATACCTACGTTTTCCCTATCTTATTGTCCAGCTACGTTTTTGCTCAATCGCTGTGACTGAATATTTTCAATTCCCATTCCTAAATGGAATGCCACTAGTGATATTAGAAATTTGGTCGAATTTATCAGCAATCAATCCATGTGAAATTCATCAGTCTGCAGATCGCATCTGGAACGCTTGATCACACTGACTCCGTTCGGGGTGGTTTCTGTTTTCGAAAATCTAATCACAATCTACAACCATACTTGCCCGTGTTTTGACTAACAGTCATCACGTGCCACAGAGTTGCATCCAGTGTCCGTTGATTTACAACAAAGACGCTTGAGCATGATGGAAGCTGATACGCTGTTCACACTAACCCCAAAACAATAGCACAATGTTTTAGTTGTCGTCAGTCGGTAATTTCCATGTACTCCTTAAACGCGTCTGCAATCTCCCGCCCTCTTCTCTCTCTTGCGACTTTTTGGTAGCTGTTACGAGAGTTCTCCTTGAAGCTCCTCCAACCGGTCCTGGGACAATGCAGCGTGTCACTTTAGACAGCTGTCTTTTAAAGTGAATGAAGAAAATAAGATACGTACCACTCGCTTATACTCATGCGTTGTTCAATTTCGAAGAAAGATGACCACTATTAAAGCAAATGATCACACTGTAGATTCCGATCAGCGCCAATCGTCCGAATTGAAAAGACAGCCGCAGAATTCAAAATAGTGTCGCGCTGCCTAGACTCGTTTTCTTTTGCATTAGCTTATGGGACCAATGTGTTTCACAGTAGTGATCTGTCCAAGGTGCAACGTGTGATCACCATGAAGAAATGATCGAGGCTCGCGGTCAGCATAAGCTAGATGCTAACCTGTCTGCCAGAGAAAGATTACGAGTAAAAGCAGAACGTAAACGCACAATCCATACTCACCGATAAAACCGATGCTTCTTCCAAGAACAAACAACGCATTTAGTGTGCCGATAGCCACGTATTCATCCGCCTCTTCACTGTGAAAGTTAAAAAACAGGTTGAACAAATTCATTGAGTATAAAATTGACAAGAAAACAATTAAACCGTCGAGAATGAACCAGTATATGTTGGTCTAGTCATTTAAAATACCTTTGGACAATCGCACGTTAATTACATAGATTTATTGACAGAAAGTGAGAGAGCATGATCCACTGAATTGTGCAATTTATAAAAAAACAATATATTCTGCATGAACTTTAGCACAGATCAAGTTTATGAAATAATCAGTAAATGCACTTTTTCCGTGAGGATTCGCTACTGCACTTCTAATGATTGCTTCTTCTTTCTGAGAAGGGTCTCAAGGAAATGGTGCATTTTGCACTTGATCGAGTCCTGTTGAACGACTGCGTAGCAGAAACCTTGCTGAGGATTTTGTTAATTAAGCAAGATGTTTTTGACGAAGTCTTCAAGAGACGAGTTCCTATATGTAGATGGTTCGGTTTACTCGGTGAGTCCACAAATAAGCTCAAGAACTTTCCGCCACCTCGGGATTTTCTGCTTCAAGGATAGTGATGGATTCTCACGTGTCGCGATGTCCTCTAAAGATCTTTATGGCCTTGTGTCGTAGAGAGAATGTTTACGGGACAAAAAACCCGTTTGTGCAGTGAAACAATGTTAAACTGTTCAAGGGTCTGTTCTCCTATTCGTAACCTGGAGATATCAAGTCAAGTCAAGAGTGCACTTTATTCATCCAATGTGGACAGAAGTTTCAATGAAAAGAAAGTTATTGCTTTTGCTTTGGCATATGCGCTATTACCTATCAATGCACAGACCCTACGATCATCAATGTGTGACAGCCTCAAGTCACGGAGTTCAACACGTCCGAATTGTCGCGCATTTATGAAGCTGCAACTCTTTTACGATTGTTGTTGTCTATGTTCTTCAACCCTACCGAAAAGTAAAATATAAACGAATCGATGCCAGAATTTGTTTGCTCAACTGCAATTCCAGTTGTTTCGTTATTATAGGTTGCGGTCCCACAAGCACCGGTAGAATAAAAACTAGCTCATTTCTAATGCGAACAAACTGGAATCCCGATACAACGACTCGAGTGGAAAAAGCATTCTTTTATGGCGTCCAGGGGTTACTGACCGGGTGAATTGGCCACAGTGACGAAGTAGATCAACCATTGCCACACCAATCATCCCGTCCACGTTCAGAATGAGATTCGGTCGCTAATCCGTGCGGATATGAGTTGGGCGAGCGTTCAAAGTGTTCGTTTTGCGAAGTGCAGAAAGGAAGACAAAAAATAGTGAGAGTAAGGACAATTTAGTATGGAAGGCAGTGAATGCAAAAGTTACAATAATCACTCGGACAATGATAGCAGGCATCTGTCTCTACACTGTTTTGATAGAGAGCAAGATAAAGCATTAAGTGATGTGAATACCAGGTTATGAGGAGGGCACAAGAGGACTTCATTCAATTTCAGAGAGAATTCGTCGCGTATGGAGCAAATGGAGCGTGAACTGAAAACCTAGGAAGCACTGGACAGCTGTTTCGACCTGGTTGGGTCTCATCAGCAGCGCGAATCCATCTACCCAATTGGGGATCGAACCCGGGACCTCACAGGCAGAACGCAAGCATGCTACTCACTCGGCCACCAAGCAAATGATAAGACAGTTTTTCATTTTCCATTTACACGATATAGCACAACCCATTTTCGAGAGCTTGGTTCGGGTATAGCGAGTCGCTCCTCTCATCACTAGCCTCCGTGGTTATGACTCGGTTGGAAACTTTCACAACCTGACTGAGATTACTGGGCTATCACCTGTTATCTTCTTGTACCTTCGAATGGACTTTAATCCAATATGCGTTTTTGATCCCACGCGACCTATGCAATTTCGATCAACCTTTACATATAGAAGAATCTGGGTGATAGGACCGAAGGTTTCCTCTTAGTCGTAACACGTCATCACGTTATATTCTTTGAGCTGGACCTTATAACCTGTCACGGAACTGAACTTAGAAGGGCACATTGTATGCCGAGTGTGCTTGCTCGCTTCACCCGCTTTATGTGATTGATTGGTTGTGTCCCGGACATGGGAATGGGTATATCATCACACCGATGAGAAACCGAGACAGGGGCTGTTTTGATTGTGAATAAGACTAGAATAATAGTATACCGTCATTCGTATTAGCGATTTGTTTGTGTTGAATGAGTGCAACTATATTGGTTAATGGGTCTTCAGTTGCACTTCATACTAATCTAATCATGTAGCTCAGTTTAAAATTTGTCAACTAGTTATTAAACTGCGATGGAAATGTTTGTGATAACCCACAAAGAGCACTGGACAGCTGTTTTGGACTCGTCAGCAGTGAGCACTTTTTGTTTCCCTGTCAGGACTCGAACCGCGGTTCTTCGCGCTGGGTCTTCAAACCCTTACCCTTGAGCTACACGGTCGACGGTTATCACCTCATGCGAATGGCTCAATCAATTTAGAGTATCAAGCTTGAATTAGCCCATTCGATTGTTTCAGAGGCACCAGGCACTCTTGATGGTCTGGGGTACGCACTACTGACGAAACCAAAAAAGGACGAAACAGCTGTCCAATGCTTTTCGTTGGTTATCACAAACATTTCCATCGCATCTCGTGGGGAATTAACTAAGGAGTGAAACCCACACACAAGACCATTAACAGTGCCTGGTGCCTCTAAAAAATCGAATGAGCTACTCCAAGCTTGATATTCCAGTTATTAAACTATTTAACAGGTTTCAGTCTCCATTATTCGAATACCCATCGGGCCGACCAGGGAGGAGGAAGTAAAGTGAAGTAAATCAAAATCGTGCAGTCCTATATTACCCCAGACAAGTCCGGGACACTAATTTGATAAAAGCTGTAAGTATAGTTGTTCTCTCTCCGGTCAAGTTTTGCACTAGGATTTCTAATTATTGTGCCTGATACAAACTACCAAATACCTGAGGAAGTAGTTTGAGATGTGATGTGAATGTCTTGTCACCAAGAATTCAAATCAATTTCTTGTAAACACGAATAGTGGAATACACTTCTATAGAAACAGACAAGTAATTCTGCTGTACCTTCTTTGTGGTAACTTGTTCCACAGCGAACGCATAATCGACCAAAGGAGTGGCCGGAAAGTGTTGATGCACGAATTCGCTGAGCAGTTTCACCCGTAGGTCCGGGTTTGTAATCGATTTGACCCGATGTCCGATGCCCATAATTAATCGGGAACCGCGTCGTTCGTTTGCCACGAATTCTGCCGGTTTCAGTCCGGCATCAAATGCAGCAGAGAACTGCCGAGCGGCCGCGTCCAATGCACCACCGAATCGGTCACCCTGAAAACACAAGTTTCAATTTTGCGTGAGTGACCGGGGGAAGTGTATCGTCTGGTTTATAGCTTCTCAAAAAGGCTACTTCGTTTAACCTTAACGTTGCTATCAGAAAGATTGTTGTTGCTAATGTGGTGCATGGGGATGAGTAAACTGAAGCAATCGATAGGATATTATGAACTCTATTTAGTAATGGTGGTGTATGAAAAAGCGGGAACACCATCCACAAACAAACGAAAAAAAGAAGTGAGTTGCGATCGAAAATTTACGAGTGCGAAAAGTACTGATATTGCCTTGACAGAACAATACATTCATACAGAGACGAGCTATTAAAAGCTAATGTTCATTGCAGAAATATGGAGACGTGGACCCAATGCAGTCACTTGATTTGACTTATATAATTCGAAAAGAGTAGCGTGTGCAAGCCACTGGTGATTACCGAAATATCCTTTCAATAAGATCGAAGTTGGAGCATTGAACCTTTCGATAAAGCAGTATTCTTCATCATCGTATCGGTCCCTTGGCTGATTGATTTTCTGTTGAATATGAGTAGTTAGGAATGTAGTTGCCGGAAAACAAGCCTGTTCCTCATATTTTTCTTCCACCAGTGAACCTGTCCAAAAATTATTCGTCGCCTGCCCTAATGACAGGTTTTCGTAGCCCCGCTACATAGGTTTTATCCTTGGTATGATCACTCGTAGGGTATATCCTCCGCGCTCAATAACGACTCGAACCAGTAAGTGTAAGATTTAGCCTCACAAGTTGCCATTAGGCTACGTTAAAACCTTGTGCTATGAAAACATAACCTTCTGATCTTACAAAACCCTAATGCTCAGTTATTAGAATTGAAAAATACAAGCAGATTGGATGGAAGTTGAATTCGAACGCGATGAATTCATATTGTGAAGTGGAAGACAGCCGAACTTGACCACAGTACGAAAGAAACTCCTGAATCCAATAGCGTTTCTACCAAGAGCAATGATCCTACATTGGTATGGTTACATACTAGTTCAATTAGACCTAGTGGCGCATGGACTGAAGGGCGATAGTTATCATCATCACCATAACTTTAAGGTGAAATATATTGTAGTAAGCTTCACTGATTGCTTCCAAACTCACAGATACGAATGTGCGGGGTAGACAAGTATTGAGAGTGGGACAACAAAGGGAACCATCGTCGTCAACATACAGAGAAAACAGTTTTGCTATACGTGCACTCTCGTTCAAGCATTCGGATGTAGTGCCAGCGACGACGTCATTGCTGTCGGTAAACAACAACCGTCTTCAGTGTCCTTGACCAAATGGTTCCAGAATATTTCCGATTCCAACCCACTCTCCCCGAACTCAGTGCAGCTCTCTCCCTCTCTCTACGTCTCTTCTCCAGATCGTCTACTGACCAAGTAATTCGCTCCCCCTGAAACTGATTCGACCGTCTTCATTTTATCCATACACGATTAATCTTTTTGACTTTTTTCATGCACCCGGAATCTTTAGCCCTGTCCAGGAGCTTTTCTTGTTAAGAGTTGTCTTAATTACTGTCATTCTTATGGAGATTACCCTGCCATTTCAGTTCCCATATCCATACAAACTAATCGCACGATTAAATGTTCACTGGATGCTGAGTGCTCTACTCAATCTGTGTTTATCGCAGATTCTGAAAACATTCTTCAAACCTACATTTTTCGGAGCTGTTAGATGCGCACTTTCTGTTGGACAGGGCCACAACATGTGCAGGTTTATTAACAAAAAACACGGAAGCAAGTCCAGACAAATACATCCAGCTAGGACGGGATATGTTTTCAGGTAGGGGGAACCAAGCAAGACAGTTATACAACTCACAATGGTCAGGAGACCAGCAGTCAGACTGGACAGCAAATCTTTACCGGCTCTTGCGGTCACAATCGTGTTCAGAGCGCCGGAAACGGCAGGACCATGATCCGCTGTGATTACCAGACACAGTTCGAGAAACTTTGTGCAGTATTCAGGTAGTCTGGAAATGAAAAAATGCGGATTGATATACCGGGAAAATGAATGTCCTAAATTCCGGCATGCGTAGCGATACACGAAACAACGAAACTTTGTGACACTGGTTATCTTTCTATGATCAGTAAAACTTTTGCGAAAAACTCTATGGGGCAAGAGAAGCAACCTTTTGTAAGCACTGTGGTAATTACTATTCGTAATTAGATGTTTCTTCCATTGTTTCCATCAGACTACTCATAAGTGGCATTCAGCATTTATTTCCTAAACAGTTAAACTTTCGTTTTTTGTGCATCCCATGGCGTCTATAGCCATGAAATTTATATATTCAGATAGTGTATTTACCGGGTCTTTAATGTTGTGCTTTCTATATATTTATTCATAAGGTTGCATTTTCCTATTGGCATAAAAATTCTCCGAGCGCTTGTTCTGCAAGTGAAAACCTGCTGCCAGCAGGGATCGATCCGCAGACCACCCACCAGTCGACACACATTTCCCCTACACCACAGCTATCGCAGACTTATTTACTCCTCATCTCAATCCTGCTCTCGGATACGCATACCTATCACTAACACCGCCTCTTAGCATCGCAATCCGATTTGCTAACATTTATTACACTTCATCCCTATCTACTGTAATTTCCTTCTCCATCGTTTTATGCCGGAACTAAAGTGCATAGTAAGCCTTTTCCATGCCGTACCGCAACATCTCCCGAATCAATTTTTACAGCTGCGCTACTGTTACACTTAGCTGTCTGCTGGGTAGACCTTGTTCCTACCATTCACGGACTGTTACTGCTGCCCTGTAATTTGGTTGCTCACCTGGCTGTACGTTACCTTTTCTGTTTTACTACTACTGTATGATTTTAGAACCACGATTCCTACCATTATCGATAACCATTGCTACTTTATTGGACTTTGTTCTACTGCCCGTATCGTGGGTATAGCTATCGAAACTAATTTACCGGAGAAATTTAGTCTGCTAAGGCGTGACAGCACATATTGCATATGTGAGTTGAACAGTAGGACAAGATGGATGAATTACCACTCACCGACGTTTGAACCACAACAAACCGAGAACTCCGCCGATCCCTAACTGTTCACTGATCACTTGACTGATAGGTACACCGGCAAACAACAGTTCTGGGCCTCGATCATCACAAATGGTTGATGTGAACGCGGCCGGACGTCGAATCAAGCCCAACTCCTGGTGAATGATACAGATACAAGATCGGTTGTTGAATGAATGAAACGGTTTGAGTTGAATAAACCAACTCATGATAAAACACATGAAATGAGGTCATCAAACTATGACAGCAGATAGACAAAAACAACTGGAAATGAAAAAAGCCACAATCAACTTCGTTAATATCTTGGTCATTTGACAGGTATTTTCCGACTGAACAAACGGGTCATGGTAACTACGACAATAATAACAGTGGTGAAAATAGTAACATTACTTTCAGCTTCATTCAGAGGTAATCACGAGATCATCGCATTTTCTCAATCTATCTATTCAAGGAGATCACACATTTTTCACGAATCAAACCCTGCAAAACAGGTGCAAAACTAAGATAAGTTCTTTAAAGCATGAGTTCTGTTTATTTGACTCAGAGGACATCTCGTGTATCTCATCCGAGTGGGGTGTAATCGTGACCCTTAGGCAACTTAAACAGATTAAGCCTTGGTGCGTTTCTCACCTTACCTAGTAGAAGTTCACATTACCAAGAAGATAAATTGACAGAAACACAATCATGCGTGCCATTTGAATGATGTGAACGAAAACCAACTTCAAACAGTTCGATTCAAAAATTCAAGAATAAGAGTGAAGTCAGGCGGGAGCATGTGAATAACCACAAACAGGTGACAAGTTGAAGAGGTCCCACAGAAGCAATCAGAATTGATGTCCATTTGTTACTAAACATGTTGAACGACATCATACTAGTTGTAACGTTTTTTCGCCTTAACCAAGCTATTTGCTGGTGGTGTAAATCATTAAGGGAAACGTAGGCACCCAGTTGACGTTCAAAAGGTCTCTATTATAATCACACAATAGTTACTGTGCCAAATGCTTGAGGCAAAGGAAATACCTCGATATATATATATATATATATATACCTTCATTACAAGGGGGGGGGATAGGTCATATGTCACACTGAGTGTGATAATTTTGTCGTTTATTTGAGGCAGTTTTTTGGGGACTTCCAAAATAATCAGATTACAGGGAAATAAAGTTAATGTCATGGATTCTAGGTAGGCTGCGGTATATACGTATGTATATATAAACATATATATATATATGTATATGTACATGCAATCTATGATAAAACCTGTTTCTATGATAAATGCTTCGGTGTGTAAACTGATCGTATTGCCGTTTTTGGATACAAAGTTACTTTTCTTCTATTATCAAAATGCATCATGGCTTCTTCACACCACTTATTTCTCTTTCAACATCTCAGTGACGCTGAACTCATTATCGTATTGCATCGTTGCATCTTCTCATTCCGAGTGTGGTTTGTTCGTTTATAACCTCACCGTAGAAAACAAGTAACAGTTTCATTTTCGATAAAATAGAAAAGCATCTGACTGAAGACTATGGTTGAAAGGAGTNAAAGGAGTGATAGATGGATGATTTTACCAAGTTTTCTCGTTCGCACATCGGACAAACGTTGTCTGAAAAGATATAGAATGACACGATATTTTTCGGAACTATGAAACTCCTAACATGGTCCGAGGCAGGTGAAAAAGAATACATCTTTCCGATTGTTTTTCAAAATTTTCCTAGGAACTTAGGTTTAAAGTTTGTGTTGATTTCCATTCGGGTGGTCGAGACAGGCTCATCCCGGTCAGTTAATAATTATTTATTTAGCGAGCTATGGGCATGAGCACAAACAATAACATATTTCAAATTTTGTTTGCCAGATGTTGCGAAAACGTGAGTGCTGGATTGCAAAATTTCGGTCAACTCGCTTGGATTCGGATTTACGCATGGACGCCGTGTTGGCTTTTGCACAGCTGAGCTCGGATGTGACACTGACGGCACTGATCTTTCCATATCTGGATCACTCAAACAACTTACAGGGGCATATGGAATCTGACAATTAGCGAGATAGTGCACGGAACTTGCGTCCTAATGGGTGAACTCCATGTATCTGTGAGTTGGTTGCGTGATCAACATGTGAAAAGATCGGTGCTGTTGTTGCGGCAGAGCACGCGCTGTAGACGCGTCCATGCGTGGGTTCAAAATTCCAAGTTAGCCTATTCTAACCAGAATGGTCTAATCGCAAAATTCTCATCCTAAATTCATTCCTCTATATCTGTTGCCCCAATAGATGAGATACGGTTTGACTTATCTAACAAGTGATAATGAATGTCAGAAGATCAATGAATAAAGTACGGATGATCGGCTGCTAATTTAATCTTCTTTACTTCCGACACAGTTGTGACTTGCCCGTATCCAAAATGTGAACACTAAAGTGTAATGAGAGAGATTTTTGTCAAGCGGCAACGATAGTGTTATTGCACACAGGAAAAATCATGTAACTTAAAGAACATGATTTTTTGCAACCTGAAAGATATATAGAATACTCTAATAGATTTTTATTTTGTCTTTGAAACCCAGCTCCCACGATCGGACGCACTGGACCATGACAGCATCGCTCAGTTCGACTTTCCGTACCAATTCGTGCAAACAATGACAAGGTCCGGTGAGAAACACAAAATACATCTACTATCAAACCGAACCATTGGGTTGGGTGAAGAAGATGCAACTGACTTGTTTACATTATGTCCTTGGTCACTTGTTTCTCTCTAACACGGAACATCACCCAAGCAAGAGCCACAGTGCAAAGCTCATGGAGTCTGTGTGAAACACGAAGCGTGTGGCGGCAATAACCGCAACGATGGATTCTTTCTGACTGGGCCACAGCGACCCGAACGAACGTGAATGACAATACTGGAGATATCAAATGCAAAGCGCTTAGCCCACTACCTGAAATGTTTACTAAGGAGTGTACAAAAGAATAAAAAACAAAGTGCCCATGGTGAAACAAAAAGTTCCATCGGGTCTAAAACAATCTCATTATGCCCCGTTAACCCAGTTTGTACGACGGGCTCGTCACGGGCTTATGATGTGATACACATGAAATGAACAAACTGTGGTGCGACCACGTCAGGGAACCAGCCCTCGAGAGAGCTGCATAGTAGACAGAAACAGCTTGAAATACCCGATTGGACTAGTGCACAGACGGAACAAGGCCACAATAGTCACACTAATAGACGTGTTTCAGATGGTTGATGCAATCTGTAATGGAGTTACCATTTCGTATGTAAACTGGTTGACTCTCTGATCAAAGTGAATTTCACATTCGCATATAACTGAATAAATAAATAAAACATTCTGCTCTGCACACAACATGCCCGAGCTTTGACACAAAATTCAGTTCGAAGCCAAGTATGAGTGCGTGTGTGTGCTTGGGTGAACGTGACAAGATTAGCGCCCGGGTGTGAATCAAAGTAAGGCGGTTTGTGAAAGCCAGAAACACAATGATCGGGCTGGGCAGTTTATTGGCACATCCTAAATGAAAACGCCCACTTTTCTCATACTATCCAGTGAACGTGTGTGCATGATGTACGCGTGTTTGTGATGCCCAGTTTTCGGAGTGGCATACCTTGTACTAAAATTGACCAAGTCCTAATTTAATGGTTTCAAATCCTTTAGTAACGTGTACAGAACTGATGAATGTGATCGCAATTTCTCATATAAATGATACGGTCTATATATCAAATGTTGAAACGTAATAACCAGTCAGAACGCATTTAACCATTGAATTATTGCAATAATCATGACATTCTAACCTCAGGATAACTTCTGGTGAGGGTAACCTTGATAACTGACCCCTGCTGGGACAGTTGAGCGCCAGCAAGTCTTGGGTTACACCATTTTTTTACCGTTGCATGCTACGTGGCTCCTCCCTGGGGTAGCGAATAATGGAACAATCACCAAATTGGTGAAAAAAAATGAAAAAAGCGGGAACAGGATCACTAACTAAGCGGCAATCTCGAAAGTTGTGCTAGATATTCGCTTGATAAGCATCCAAGTCCACAATAATCTGATTGTCCCTGACTGCCATCCAGTGGTTCAGTGACTCGTAGCTACGAACCCCAAGTCTGATTCCAGACAACGAGAAATCGGCAATCTACATGTACTATGACTAGGCAAATATAAAAACTAGAAGCATACCTCAAATTGCGGGCAAATCCGTTATCAACGGCACAAGAACAAGATATAAACCGGGTCAAGGCGCAGAAAAAAGCACCTACGGAGTGTTCACCAAAACTAATGCAAACTTTGCACAGAAAAGGCACCATTTAACGGATAGAAACACCAATCGCAGATGCGCGATAATGAAGCGCAGTCATTGGTCAATGGAATGAAGCCGTTCGATAACCAGATGAATCGAACGATCAAATATGACGGTCAAATAAAGTGAACGGGAGGCCAGTGAACTACACCTATTCAACCTCAAGTGAATCTGTTGTAACTTCAAGTGAATCCAACCAATCGCACGCCATGGAAACCCCGACAAGATTATTGGTGTTTTGGCTGTCAAATGTCAGCGATTGAACCGGGTCTGTCCAGTTCGAATGAACTAATTTCTCGGTAAACAAACAAAAGTACATTTTCCGCGAGTTACCGAGCGAGGTTGAATGTTTCGCAAGGGGGGTGGGTGAGTCGTTCTCCCCCCGTCTCCCCCACACACCCGTTCCACCCAGGAACGTTATGTTCGTTGATCGAGTGTGCGTCATAGATACGAATGAACTAACCCGGAGTCACCTGACCTCTGTCGGTCCGGTAAGGAAGCGAATCACACCAAGATGGATCGATAAGTCGGTCACCATGCCCAGCCGTGAATGTGAGCTTGATTCTTTGTATGAGTGGAGTCCGTCTAAGCCCACAATAACCCANATGAGTAAATTATATTGAAACCGAGTTTCTCTCGAATAAAATCGATTCCTTTGAATCAAATGCGATTGCTTACGTATTTCTGACATCGAAATGCACACTTCACAAGATACTTAGCATGCATAAGATGATGGGGGTGACTATTGTAGTTAGTTTCTCAGCTCGAATCCAAATGTACGTGATCATTTTGACCAAACTGGAATCGACCCCAACGGTTGATAGCTTGTACCATTTACACC